AGCCACCTTATATATCTATTTTTAAATCCATACGCAGATATTTAACGCATTTCAAAATTCGGATGAATTATCACGAATATTAAATTAATTACTATACATCGAACACTATTGAAATACGCGAAAATGATTCAAATATTATTGTGATTCTTTGATATTGGAAATTGTCGAGAATTCATCGCCGGTGTATAACGAATCGAAAATTTTCTATCGAATTAACGTCCGGGAATATATCGACGTTTCAGAATTAAAATTCGTGCACGAGTGAAATTCCGTGTGGAATTTCGGCGGATATTTAGTCGAACGAGTGTTTGCGCGAATGAGAGTGCATCGTTTCCGGAAGCGAATTTCTCAAACATCGGCCCTTGATATCATCGAGCCGGTTACACTTCATCGGAACGAATTAACGAGGGCTCGAGTAGCTTGCTATGTTTTAACGCGATTACCCGCTAGTTCTGAACCTAGCCATCTACCCTGGCCATAACCTCTATCCGCCTAATCGCGCAGACAGGAATTTCTGATCATGAAAGTCGTTTAAAAATGGGAATCTTCCTTTATAGGTGAAAATACATAATAAATCGACTATCTTATGATAATATTTTTCACGTAGAATTAAAATCATTCTAATTTTAATTATTATCGAAAAATTTTATGAAGTTTATCAAGATAGATAGAAATACTTTGTGAATTTAATTCTAGAGTCCCTAAAGTTACTTTAAAATTCTCTAAGATCTTTTAAAAATTTAGAATCTTATATTATATTTAAAATATTTAATATATATTTATATTTAAAATATTTAACCTAAGCTGTCGATAGATAAAAATATCTTGTGATCACTAGAGTTACTAGAATCCATTATAATTTTTTAGAACAACAAAATTAATATGACAATTTTTAAGAATGAGAAATTTTCACGAGAAAATAATTACATAATTAATATAATAATTATATAAATAATTATATAATTAATTATAAGAAAATAATTATAATAATTAGATTTAAAAATTTATTGGAAAAATTTTCAATAATCATTAATTTGGTTCTAAAAAGAGTTATTCGAATCTTTGAAGCAGAAGGAAGGGAAGTGTCCCTGTAGGACTCTCTGAACATTAGCAAAGTTTTTGAACGAAGTTTCCTCCCAAGAGTTCCTTGAGATTTCTAACGCGATTTGCTATCCCCTTTCCAACAGGCTTCGGGAAAAGTTTCAAATTCATTAGACGCAGTGAAATTATTCGCCGTTTAATAAGCGGCTATAAACGTGCCACGTAGCACTCTGTCGACGTTGGGAAAAGCTTAAAAGCTTGGAAGGCTTTTAGATGGCACGCTTGAGTCACCAAGGATCATTAGAGTTTATCAATATTTGCGATCGAGTTTTAATCTCGAAAAATTAAATATCTTGTGACAGTCGGCTGTTCCACGAAAAGAAATACGACACTTGGATTTTTTGTTGAAAAAAGAACGAAGAAAAATGGTGTGAAAGAAGCTGGATTAAAATAAATAGAAAAAAGGTGAGAGATACTTAGAACAGAATGAATGAAAGGAAAAGAAAAGAAGAAAAAAGAAGCTCTATTAAATTAAGAGTACGGAAAAGAAGAAGAAAGGAAAAGACGTGAAACGAATAGATGAGAAACGAGCACGGTCGCTGCTAAATATTTGTCCTTGACGTTTCACTTTTCATGGATGCAAATTGAGAAGAAATAATAATCGTTGAATAAATATAAAAAATATAGTTCTTCGAAGATATAAATTTAACGAATAATCATATTCTATAAATATAATTAATGAAAAAGTTAGACAGAAATTTATTTAATTATTAATCGATGGATAATAAATACATAAAAATAATTACTTAATTTAAATTCCAAATTATAGAAGCATAATATAATATTGACAAAATTTTTAAAGCAATAAAATCAATTAAATGGTCCCTATTTTAAATAATTACTAGATTTTTTTCTTGATTCCTATCTAATTGCACAAAAAGTCTACATTATATGTTAAAATGTTTAATAAGATATGTATCTCTCATGGTTTACCATGTGAGGGAAAAAGAAATTACGGAGATAGCCAGGCGGAAGAGAGAATGGTCGATGAAGGGTACCGGAAGCCGAGAAGCGTGAAGACGAAGTTCACGCTTCCTCGAGCGCTCAATATCGGATACTTGTCTCGAGAGAGAGAAGCTTTCGTCGTTAACAAAGAGACCAGGTCCAAGTTATGCGATAATTACTCCACGGTTTCTATCCGTAAAGGAAAAGAGAGGTGTAGATAGCAAGATGTCTGAGTTCCAACTCCCTGTGGATTTCCGTGTCGCGAATCCACTCTTTTAAACGAACGGCTGGCGCGAGTCCAAATGCAAAACATGAAATTTCGCGATAATTTTCCAATGATCGTCTTGAACGCCATCTCTTGACGTCTTGTCTGTGCGTCGATTCAATTAATTGCCAAGATGGCATAATGATCTCGAAATTAATTTTACAAATTAATCTATCATGTTTGTCACACGATTGAAAGACAAAAAAATCGCAAAATTAAATAATCAAATTTTATTTCGATACGAAATAATTGATATAATATACTTTTTTATGTCACAGAGAGATTCAAAGAATTTTTGGTTCGATTAGATTAGATTAGGTTATCTATCGACTGTCAATTTGGACAATTGAGAGAATATTTGTTATCTGAAACAAAGAAATAAAACTGTGAAATGAATTAATAGTATGTTTATAGGTATCAATAGATAATAAAGCGAAATTTTCATAAAATATGAAAAAATAAAATTTTTAAACATTTGTAAAATAAATATTATTTTACCTATATAGGAATAATTATAATTTATGTTTATATTCTAGTTTCTATTACTGTATAGAAGTTCGTAGAAACAAATACTTTTTGTAGTATAATAGTACTGTAAGTAGAATTAATTACGACAAATCTAATCACTAAGAAAACTTACAAGAGAGGTTAAGTATCGAGCAAGGCATCACGCATTTCTAGTCTCTCCCAGTGAAATCCTTTCCTTATCGATTGGAGGAATCTGGCGTCAATGATCAATTGTTAATTAACGATATCGATGCTTGAATAATTAACGACGTAGTCGTGGCTAAACGAGTATTAATAGGAAGTCAATTGTTCCAGAATCGAGATTTATTTTTCACGACGATGAGTCGCATTCTCGTCAGTATCAAACCGAGCAAATATTTGTCCTTGCTCTTTGAACTGGGGAAAAGTGGCTGTTAACCCTTGCCTTCTTTTTTATATTTGACCAAAGCACCAGCGAAATTAAAATTCCACCTCGAGGGAGGAAGGGAACTTGAAACTAAAATACACCATCGTTCTTCTGTTTCCGATCTCTGGGGAAGAGAAACGCGCAAATTAACGCTACTGGTGAAAAGAATAAATATTAAATGCATCGTGAAACCTTTGAAATTTGATCAAATTCAACATGAATTTGCGGTAAGACGAGACATCTGGATAAGAAAATTATAATATTTTAATTTTGTTAAACTTGATACTAATACAAATATATTAATGATTATTTATTTCAAATATCTTATTCTATACAAATATTATAAGAGATATTATAACATAAAAATGTAAATTTTTTAAATAAAATAGGTTAGAATTAAAATAGAGTAAAATAAGTTAAAAAAATAAATTGTTTTTTTCTGAAAAGAAAACAACTTTGATAGTTATTAAAGATAATGATCGGCAGTAAAAAAAAAAAAGATTACTTACATAGAAAAGGAAATTGAAATTTTATAAAAGAAAAATTATTTTGTTTGCCAGCGAATCGCTTAATCGTGGCTTTCAGGCCACGTTAATTAGAGTGACGTTTGCCGGAGAAAGTCGCGGCAAGGTGATCCATCGTGGCTACCGTGACAGCAAGCTATACATTATTCTCACCAGCGATAATCCATTATCAGGGTACCAGAATCGCGATATTCGTTTTCGACTAGACAATCTAGCTAAAGTATAATCGCGAGATTAATCTCAGTCCTCCACCAATGACTTTCTTCTCAAATATGACTTATTCAATGGTACGATCTTTTCCATTTGTGAAAATCATCCTTTACGTATGCCATTTCAACCATGCAGTATGAAATATCTCATGTAAAGTTTACTTAATGGCGATAGTAATCAAATTTGTCGCCAGATGGCTCTCTAAAGGATTCGATTCATGCGAATCTGCAGTGCAGTTCTGGCTGCGAAAGATCAAAAGTTGTTCTATATGCTCGACTTGCAATTTCTACTAACGCTCGAATATATTTGCAAAGTACGAATTTCGTGAGAAATATCGTTTCCATTCGTGAAAATATTTCCTCTTATTTTTATTTCTAATTTACTTATTACAAGTATTCAATGAATGTGAAACATTTTCGAGAATTTCTTTCCTAGAAATGTTATAATCGGTTCTAAAATGTGACATTTTCGATAATCATTGGCACCAGATTGTGACATAACAAATTTTATTCTAGCGAAAAAAAGCAAAAGTCGAAGAGAATAGAATTCTAAGAAATATTTAACATCTTTTGGATCGTGCAATTTTAATTCCACCAATTTTAATTCTGTGCGCAGCTCTTTGACTAATTAGATTATGCAAAACAGTTGTTACGCGTTCTCGACGTGTCTGGAAATTTTTAATCCCTCAATCTAGCTATCGATGAAATTTTCTCGTTCAATTATATAGTTATAATTTTGATTTTTTCTTTTTTTAATATTTTAATTTTATTAATGATTGATCTTTTATATCATGATAAAAATTCTTAATTTCTTATGATTTTAATTTCATAAAAATTCGAAATTTTAAATCTTAATTAACTATCGAACAATTTTTCAAATGTCTTAGTTTTAAATTGAAGTTCGACTTTAGTTTTCTTTAAATTTCTGAGTAGAATCTTAGAAAATTTTCTATTTCTTTCGCAATGTTTTAGAGTCAATCTTAAAAAAGAAAATTCATGATAAAATTATTTCATGAAAAAGTGGAAAGTTTCGAACGACTTACCCTTCATGCCGAGGACCAACGCCGTTCTCCCAGTCAAAGGAACGATCTTCGATTCTCCAACCAGGATTCTTACACTACGCTCGAGGAACAACTTTCAAACTTCACCGATCACTGGCGATCGTTTCTCGATCGCGACACTGCACACCAACGATTCGTCGATTCAGTTTCAAAAACATAAAACACACTTTCTGAAAAAAAAGAAAAAAATTGATTAGGTTAGATCAATTTAGATATCATTAATCCTAAATTATAATTATAAATATTATTTTGTAACACACAAGAATCTTAAACTATTAAATGTATAATTTAATTAATTATAAATATAAATATATAAATGTAATATTTTATTGGAAAAAAATCAAAAAGAAGAATTTTAATAGAATTTTTAAAAAAAAGTTGAATAATACAAATATACAATTAAAAAAGCTAATGTCATATTATTTTGAAATCACATTTCCATACATTTAATGATAAAAGTTAAAAAACAAACCAACCATTTACTAATTTCATTATATTATTTTATTTTTATTTATCCTTTGGATAAACATATTCGAAAAAGATTTATTTATTTATATATTTATATATGTTATTATTATTCATTTATATATTTTTAATTTAACCTATTCATTTAAGAGAATGAGAAATATAAATAAATATAAATAAATATGCAAGAAATTAATTTTTTTTTCAATTTTTTTATTCAAAAAATACATTTATAATTTTTAACTTATATTTGATCTTTAATTTAATACTGCATTTATTAAACAAAATTATTTCTACACTATACACTTTTTTTTATATAAAAAAAAGTTATAAAAATTATATAAAAAAAAATTAAAAAATTAAATTTAATTATCTTTACAAATTTTGATTAATAAAATCATCTTATGCATCATTTTCAATTATATTGTTAGTAAAATTTTTGAACCTTCACCTCATCATTAGAATCTCTGAAATATTTTACGAAATAATCTGAATATAAGTTAATAGTGGATATAACAATGGCAGCATTACGCAATATCTCATGACTCTCAAATCAAATTTTCGAGGAACCAGTACATTAATCGATTTTCCAAATACGCGATCACACATCGGATTTAGAATTTAAACGAGAATTAAATCTTTATGGAATTCACACATATCGTCAAAAGACAAATTAATAAAGGCTGCGATAAATTAAAATCGCTACTCGTGTTTAATTGGGTTATTACGATTTAATGTTATGCAAAGTTTATAAAAAATAAGCATGTCAACCTCGAGTTACTATTTAATGAAGGTTAGGTTATAATAGGATCACGCATGAAATTAAAAAGCGGTATAATAAAGTGGATAATTACTGCCCTTAATGGTGGTTGAAGTTACTTGATATTAAAATTAGAACACTCAAGGAATAACGAATAGATATAGGTGTGTGGCGTTGGTTATGATTTAGAATTGTTATAAAGATTAGTCACGCATAAAATGAAAAAACTGGAATAATATCATGAACACAAGAGATTAAAATTGAATTATGACAGGCACTAAGAAATTAAAATGTTTGAAAAATAATGAAATTAATTAAAATTCACGAAAAAAGTATGTAATTAAAATCCTCGAGAAGAATTGGTTAATATTAAAAAAATTAAAAACGAAAATTAATATAAAATTAAAAAAGAAATTTAAAAGATAAAATTGAGTTGATTTGATGTGTGAAAATGTTAGGTTAGTTACATGATATTAAAGTTGAAATGGATTAACGCAAGTTGGAGCAGCTATAGGCAGTTGCACGTAGGTCGTGGTGAAACAGAATTGTTGCGTTTAGGTATTAGAACAGATTAGCACACCGGGGCCACCGGATCTGAACGAAATCCTATTAAATCAATTAATACATAAGCTATAAGCAAACAATCATTAAGCTCTCATTCTGGAAAATTATGTAGTTCGAAAATTCGATAATTTACAACGTCTTAAATATTTCGAATCTAACTTTTTATTTTATAATATACTTTTTAATTCATAAATTATATTACAATGCATTTTAAAAATACATTACATTAAATAAAAGTACATTTTTGTTTTAAATATTAATAATAAAATATTAATAAATGTATGTATATCAGCTATAAATGTCTAATTACCAACTTCAAAAATAACAAAAAAAATCTAGTGGAAAAAAATTAATTATAGAAGAAAAAATTCGAAAAGATACAAGATTGATGTAAAGATACGAATATATTTTTTAGAGTTATCTTTGTTTAATGGATACTACATTCAGAGTAAAAATTATCGAATAGTTACTTTTAAGTAACTAGTAGAATTCTCTAGTGAAAAATAACAATAGCAATTTTCAAGTCTGATTCTCAAATATATTCAATAAAATATTTTCAATAAAAGATACTGGATATGATTCTGAATAATCGAGATCTTATTGTATCTCAAATATAAAAATATTTCTATTTGCATTCAAATCTAGTATTCAAATCGATTTAAAAATCAGAGAGTTTCCAAAGGGCAAAGCAAAAATTCAATTGTAAAATTTCTCCGCAAAAGTGTCACTTTTTTAGCGAACAAGAGGAAGTGCAAAGATGTAATGAAATTTTTCGAAGTGCCACAAAGAAAAGAAATTCGATAAAGCGTCCATAAGAAGTTCGAAGACTAGGGAATAGTGGACCAATTTACGATCATTGCTTACATTCTGACAAGAAGAATACGAAAATGAGCGTAACTTCTATAACATCGAAAAAGAATGACAATTGAAATATTTAAGTTTTTAACTTAACTTTTCAAAATTCATTTTTTTCTTTATTTTTTTAAGAATAAACATTTTAAAATTAACGTTGAAGTTAATAAAAAAAGAATATTAAAATCAAGTTAACAGGTGAGTTTTGAATGAATTTAATAGAAGATAGAATTTTTACAAAAAATTGTAGTTAAAGTATTTTGTTAAATTTTGTTCCAGCTTGAAAACTAATTTAGATTTCTTTATAATTTTTATGTAATATTAAAATTACTCGAATCGAGGAGGATAATTGAAATGACATTAACCTCAATCTTCATTGAAGCACATTAATTCTTGAAAATTTCTATTTTTATGATTAATATTTTATCCTGTATACCTGAAAAATAAATTTTAAATTGTATTTTTTATTGCTTTTTTCATGTGACAATTCTTCTTTGGTGAAAATCGAAAAATCTGAAACCAAATTTCGACGATTCATATGTTGAGAAAAACGATAGATTTGACGTCATCGAGCTCTTTTGCCCTACTCTTTGAACATAAATTAATTTTCCATCTGGATTCCCGCTCGTTCAGCGTGCAAATAATCTCGAATAAGGTTAGTAGCCACCGAGGAAACTTTAAAAATCCTGGGAAACAGAGCGGACGAAGTTGAACAACTATACTATTAGAACGATCCAGATTGCACTCCATCGATCCTTCTCTTTCCCAAGAATATTGCCAACAACGTATTTGATCATATGGATTCGTGAAAATCTGTGGAAAATCTGATAGTGAACTCATTTTTTTACGATCACGAAAATCTATGAAGAATAGAAAATTAATAATTTATTTGCAATTTAACAAATTTCGAATAGTTAAATATTTAAATCGGAATTTTATTGAAGTTTGTATTTTAGAATTCTCATTTTCATAAAGTTTAATTACAAAATTTTTATTTCCAAAGATCTTGGAAAGTTCAAGGTTTGATTCCATATTCCACGGTTAGTTTGGAACTTGGATTTAATATAATTGGAGTTCTTGAGTTTCTCTCGATTATTTAAAGTAATTTAACACCTTACAAACTTTACCGTGATTAAATTACCCGAAAGATAACCATCCGAAATTTTACGCGAAATACATATAAAATTATGAGATAAAAATAATCTTCTATTTTTATTATTTAAAATTAACTTGTGATTTTAATATATTCGATTTTTTGGAAGTTTTAAATAAGTTTTAGTATTATCGTTTATTAACCTAACTATTAATTTAATATAATTATAAAAATTGATATATCTTTCTAAACCAAATTTTATACAAAATCAATTTTTATTAATGTTATTATTAGTATTTTATAAAAGAAATAAAAATTTATTTTATTTTTCAAATATCAATATATTATATTTTTTCTCTTTAGATATTTTGTATTTTCATATACGTCATATGCATTAATTTCAAATAATAAACAATCCATTAGTTAAAAATTATTAAAATTATTTTTAGTGTTTTTCAATAATGGATGCAAAATATGTATAGACAATTTTAAAATTAATTTACATTAAAAATGAATTTAAATTTGATAATATTGATTTTTTTCGAGGAAATTAATTTAAGTTAAGTTTTTCAAATATGTAAAAAAAAAAAAACATTCTCAATGCTAATTTACATAAGAAAGAAATTTAAATTTGATGATATGAGATTTTTTTAGGAGAGTTAGGAAATCTCTGAGACACCAAAACATTTATATAACAAAAATGAATTATAATTAAAATTAAGATCAAAGAAAAATTTAAATTGTTACTCACCTGTGTAGATCACCAGCAACGAATGCCAGAATTCTTCCAAAAACCCAACACGTCACAAAATCACACGTCACAACGTCATAATTCGCGATCAATCTATTCTCTCAAAAAAATCACTTTTTGAGTCTTTGAATTTTTCATTTTTTCTTTCTTTTTTTTTTTTTTTTTTTTTTTTTTTTTTTTATTTTTCACTCTTTCAACCTTTTTCCCCCACTGAATTTAACTTAATTATCACCAAAATAAGAATAGATGATTACACATCGTGGCGAATCTTGAAACAAGGATATTTTCATGAATCTCTCGACCACTTATCGATCTTGCCACCCTTTAATCCCTCTCGTTTCCACTGGAATGATCGTGCTCTAATTAATTTTCTTTTTTAAGGCTACCTCTTCGATTCGGGGATCGTTAAACACGCGAGTGGGTCAAGGACGCAGAGTGAACTTGTACCCTCGTCGCGCCTAACTAAGGGGAGCAGTAGTTGCAAGGGAGGAAGGTAGAAATGGCCACTTTGATATCGATTGTCGGTTGTTTTTGAACAATTTCCAAGGAGAATGAGAACTGATAGTATGAAAAATTCATATTTTTTATTATTATTATTTTTTCTATTATTTTCGCTTCGATTCGACTAATCAAAATTTTTAATATTGTTCAATTTTTGATTTCAGGAATCAAATTCTAAACTTGGAATATTTTTTTTTTAACGTCGAAAAAAATTTTTTATATTATTGAACTTTTAATTATAGTAATTTTTTAGTAAAAAAATATTAAGAATTTTAAGAGTGAAATCTATTATGTAAAAAGTTTGTTTGATTTTCTTTCTATTACGAATGGAAAGGAAATTACTTTTATTTTTATATGATTAACCAATATTATTCAATTTTTTATTTTTGGAATCATAAATAGAAATATAAAACGTGTCAAATAACAATGTGATCTAAATTTAAATTTAAAAATTTCTTAAAAGGAAGATAACAAATTTTTCATTTTATATTAAGTTGAAAAATATTGTGGATAATATAAGAGTTAAAAAAGAATATGATAAAATAGAATTTCAATCTCTCGCCTAAAATTTCAAGCTTGCTTCCTGTTACAGAAATTGAGTCGACTTTGAAACATAATCGTTCACATATCCAGAGACATCCTGTTTTCAACGCATCGCTACATTCATACGATTAGCTTGATTATATCATATTTACACTAGCGCCAAGACTGGTCTCTAACTAAGATTAATTCGCTTCGAGTTTCTGAAATGACCCAATTACGAGTTAAAATTGAAACTCTACCATGCTAAAAATCCTCGAAGGAAGAAACTTCTAGTCCAGGTAATAATTACTTATCATCAAAAACTTTAAAACCGTCCAATAAGCGAAAGAATTAACTTTTCAATTTACGTAATACACAGTTTTATGTAAGATGGAACGAGTACTTCTACGATTCGAAAACGGAAGAAGAATCACGCAAAGTGACCTATCGAATGAAGAGGAAGAGGGGAAAGAAGGTTAATTTCCGCTCGATCGAAGGGTCGTTGCTCGTCCTCGACCGTCTTCGAAATAAGGACACGCAAACAAGGACACAGAGCAATCCAGTTTTCTCGTGAATTCGTCCTTGACTTTTCACCTTTCATCTTTTCACCAAATTTTAAGGTCCTTAGAATTTCTTTTTTACGTAACGTATAATACATGGTACACGTTTCTGCAAAATTACTTCTTTACTGTTTCCGTGAACTGTAAGAAGAATTAAAGATCATTGTGAAATCATGAGCTATATGAAAATTATATATATATAAACAAAAGATACTATCTTTTAATTTCGATGGTTTTTTTAATATATTGTCGAAGTTATTATTCTGAATAGTGATTGTGAAGATTATATGTTGATAGTCGTTGTTAAAAAAAGTTATTAACAAAAACGTTTCTTCGAAGATTCTTTAGGTTAGATTAAATCGAAAAACTAATTTAAACTCAATGCAAATTGTTAAATCAATTAACAGTTAAATAAATTTTTATTTAATTTTGTTTTAAAATGAAATTAATTGATGTAAAACAAAAATTTATTTAATCTGTGATTTCTTAGGTTAGGTTAGGTTAATAACTTTTTGACAAACCATCAACTAAATCTTTTATAATGCTATTCAACGTAACAAATCTTGACGATACATAAAAAAATCTAAATCAAAAGATGATATCTTTCTGTAAATATTTATAATTTTCTGTAATAATCTATTAAATCTTGCAATCGTCACATTAAACAAAGTTAAATCGCTCGAACTTAATGCATCACAGTATACGAGAGAAAAATTTTCATAGAAACCGTGAAACAATATTGTGGATAGAAAGAAGAATGGAAAAGAGAGCATTGGCTGTAAGAAAACACGTTCGTTTAGAGGGTTGTATCGGGGACAGTGGAGTGCTCGAGACCGGTGATTATTGTCAAAGACAAACGGCCGAGGGATCTCGAAGGAATTCTCGCTTCAAAGAACAACCCTCCTTGAGAAATTCTCGAGTGTTCGCTTTTGATCAACGACCACGTCAAGTGGCTGGAGCGCGAAACGAACGCGGGCACGCCGTTTCCGTTCCAAACTTCACTTTCCTCTCCACTTCCTCGCTGGACGAAGCTACGATCGAGTGACTTTTTCATCTTGTAGCTTCCACAGATGACTTTTTCAAACTGGTTTAAACTTTTTTCGTTACGAATTTTTTTTCCTTCTTTTTCTTTTGGAAAAATTAATTGTAGCGGTAATATTATGTGTTAACTTTCCATCTCTCTTGATTGTGAATTATTCTCTTATTTTTATTTTGATATTTTTTTGAAGGTTAGGTTACATTAATAGAATTATAGTGATTTGTAGATAGTGGATTTTTATATCAAATTTGAACAATTTTTTCTTTTTGATATTCTTTTTTTTTTTTTGTGAAGAAGAAAATCAGTTGTATTGATAATAGAATTGTAATAATGATTAGGAATGAAAAAAAGTATTCGATGATTTCAAATTCGAGCAAACTTTCAATTTCTTATGGCTATTTTTTTAAAGAAACGTAGATTCACATTGATAATGACCTAACAATGATTAATAGTGAAGAAATATTCAGTGGAAAACTTTTATTAGATCAAAAGAGTCATAAATTCACATTGACAGTAAATTAACAGTAATAATGAAGAAATTCAATGAAAGATTTTTATTTCAAATTTTCTCTTCATTACAAATTTTCCCTCTTTCATTTTGACGTTTCTTTTTTCAAAAAATTAAATCTTATATTTCTTTCAATAAAACTACATTATACTTCTTCAAATTTCTCATTGAAATACAAAGAATAGATTCCTCTATTTATTGTCAAAAAAAAAACAGAAAAAAAGAAGATTTTCTTTTTTACAGAGAGGCGAAGAAAAAAATTAGGTTAGAAGACCAAAAGAGAAAGTGTAAACGGGATAAAAAGTTGGTCAGTCCAGGAAGTAGTCGGTGAAGCTCCAATGCGAGACCAAGGAAAAAAAAAAAGAAAAAAAGAGATTCGGCGGATGGAAAGGTGAGAAGAAGAGTCGTCTAGATCTCGAGACCAGCCACGAGGCAAAAAGGCAAAGCGCAGTGCGGAAATAATTCCGCGTCCTGCACTCGTGAAGGTCATCTCTGGAACGAGAACACTTGACCCGCTTGCCGTCCAAGGACAAACGCCATTATCCCGATTCCATTTCTTCTCGTTTTTAATTAACCTTTGCTCTCCATTCACCTATCGATATTTATAGTATATTTTCATTTCCAGGGAAAAAGGAATAAAGAAAAATTTTGGAAAAAGATTTTGCATTCTATGCGAAGAAAAAAATGAAGAAGGATTTTGGAGAATCCAAAGTTGAAGGAAGATTGTAGAATTATTTTTTGAGACTTTGGTTGAAGCATCGATATTTATGGTATTTTCATTTTCTTGAAGAGAAAAAGAATAAAGAAAGATTTTGATTTTAGAATTATTTCTTTGTCAAGAATTTGATAGAAGCTTCGACGATTAAATGATATTGCACTCCATGCGAAAAGAAAGATGAAGAAGGGTTTTGAAGAAAAAGTGGAATATTTTAAAATTACTTTTTTTTTTTTTTTTTTATTTTTTTTTTTTGGGGAAACATTGCCGATTAAACGATTTTGCATTCTATGCGAAAAAAAAAATGAAGAAGGGTTTTGAAAAAAAAGGGGAATATTTTAAAATTATTTTTTTTTTTTGGGGAAACATTGCCGATTAAACGATTTTGCATTCTATGCGAAAAAAAAAATGAAGAAGGGTTTTGAAAAAAAAGGGGAATATTTTAAAATTCCTTTTTTTTTTTTTTTTTGCCAGGATTTGTTTTTTGCAAGTTTCTAGGGAATCGTTTCGAGAATAAAGTGGAGAAATTGATGGAATAATTTAATCTAGATGATTAAAGAGAAAATACTAGACAAAAGTAAGAAGATTTCAAGAAATTTCCACATCTGTGTTGAGACGATACGAAAAGAGTAACAAGGTTATACTATTTTGAGATTTATAGATAGTAAATTGAAAGACGTGAGAAGGTTGAATAAGGGGTAATTCAATCACGAAGATTAAATTATCGATTTAATCGAAGATAAAATTTGTCCTTGGGAATATAGAAGAATCGAAAAGAATCGTATAATTTTCTCGAGACGTTCCCAACAGTCACAGAATTCTATTACGTTTAAATTTATCGACGATTAAATTGGAAACTGTATTATCGATGGAGTAATTTAATCTCGAAGATTAAATGCGAAAGCTTTCGAAGAATTCTGCGAGTTTCTCGTGGAGAAATCATTTCCAAATTTTCCTTTTAATTCGATTTCGATTATTCTCAAGAGAAAATAAACAGATGCATTGATTAACGCCCAGTTTATCTTAATCTATAACAATAAAAATTATTTATTCGTCTTAAGTAGATTTCAATCGTCAAAAGAATTATAATTTCACGATGATTATAAAAATTACCTTTGTAACATATTTGTAATTCTATTAGTCTTAGAGAATTGAAAAACAACTTAAAAAAAAATCAGAATGGCGCAATAAAAGCTGTATTCTCCATCTATAATATAATTTATTTCTCAATAGATTTCTAAAAATACGATCGTACGATGACAAACTTCAAAGTAGAAATTCAAGATAGAAAATCTTTGAAATTTTCCTTTAACTGTTCCAATTTATTTTAATCTGTAACAATATATTTGTTAATCCAATCTAATCTAACCTACGATAATGTAGACAGAATATGGATATTTTGCAACAGATTTATTGTGTTAAGAAAAATCGTAATAAATCCAATAATCTTCATAAGAATTAACACTTACAATTCTATTATCCTCTTCTGAAAAGACATTGAAATTACGAATAATTTCATTTAAGGGAAGATGATTCTCCAACGATTCGAAAAATTGCAAAAGCGAATTTACTTTTAAAAATAGAGAAAGTTGGCGATAAAAGGTCCCTTTTCATTAAACTACCATCGCAATTTATAGATAGGAACACTTTCGACAATGATATGCAAGTTGTATTCCTCTGAATGGAACTGCTATACCTTGCACCCTTGATGGGGGCTGTTTACACGAGTACACTGACCCACGAGTACCCTCTTCTTTGTACTTTTCCTCCCATTCACTCGACGATTAAACAACACGATACCTGCGACTCTCAATAAATATACGAGCAACCTGAGTGTGACAACCATTTCGTCGAGTGGCTCGATTCATCCGCCATCATTTTTTTACAGGATGCGACATCTTTCGCTCTTTTTCGTTTGAATGTAAATGATGATTAATGGAGGGTTCAGAAACCAATCACTAATTGCTCGAAACTTGAGAAATCTCTTTATTATTGAAACTAATCGATTGAACAGTTTACTCCGATAGTTTAATGTTTGCTCACTTGATTTTTTAATTTGAATGAAAATGAAAATTTTTGAAAACGATAATTTAAACAAAATTGTTAAATTGGATAAATCATTCTTGGGTAATATGATACTATACGTTCCAAAAGTAATTAAGTAATGTATTAATATATAGAGGAGAATTTAAAACCTAACCTAATTTATTTATATATTTTTTTTTTAAAGAAAATTGATTCTTGATGAACAATCTATCAACATTCTTTAAAAATAATCTCATATATAATTCATCAAAAACTATTTTGTTCAAATTTCTAAATTGTTCTATTCAAAGAGGAAATAAGAATAAACTAAGGAAGAGCAATAGTTCATCTCTTCCTTCTTCCACTACTTGATATTTTACATACTTTATCTCTAAAATTTTTAATTAAAATTTCTAAATCACTTTACTTTTTTTCAGAATAACAAACAAGAATAAACCAAAAAGGAGCAATAAAAAATCTAGAACAATCTCCAAATCATTCTACTCTAATAGGAAACAAGAATACAACAAAAATATAAAAGAGGAGCAATAATTAAAAAGAAATCATTCTACTCTAACAAGAAACAAGAACAAACAAGATGGAAAAGCGATCGAAAAGTCAAAATCACCTTTCCTCCATCGCTCAGATTAGATCAAAAAAGAATCCTCCTCGAGGCGGCTTCGAAAAAGGGAAAAGTCACGGATGACCTCGTGACACTGTGCTCGACACGCGAGATATCGATTACTCGGACCGACAACAACGTGTCATCGTCTCGTTTCGCTAAAAACAACCTCGACTCCTCGAAATAAAGGGATCGTAAAAGGGAAACAGCGCGGCAGAAGAGAATATAAGAAAGAGAAAAAAGAAAAAAAGAAAAAAGACACGGCGCGTCGCGAAAGAAACTGGCAATCTGAAAATGTATATTCCGCGACGTATACCCGGCCGGTTGATTGAAAGTAGTTTGTCAGCGGCGTGCTGTCTTTCCATCAGACAGATTGCTCGAATTTCCGCGGCGGGATCGTTTTTAATACCGTGAAATCTCGCCTTCTCCCCAACCGTGCCGACCTATTAGTCGGAGCCACGCAATGGGGATTGGAACAGACTTGGGGGAGAGGGAGGGATGACTTTTGATCGAGGCGAACGAGGGAGGGGGGTCAGACGAGAGTGGAAATGATTGAAAGTATGGTGGTGGAGCAGGGAGGAAGGTTGGAAACGTGAGAAAAGAGGAGGATACTAATGAAAGAAGGAGGAAACATGCGGTGGAAGTTTGAAAGGGTTTTATGCACGATCTTCCCTTCGAGGATGCGAATGATCATAATGTGCGAATGGGATATGGTTAAAACGGTTACTGAAAAAATTTTTCCGACGATGATGCGAAAGTTCGAAGGATTTTTTTTCGAATGTAAGTATTATCCTCTTCGATAAAAATAATGCACATAATGAAGGAGAAGGAAACGCAATTACGAGTTTCCTAACCTAACATAACCTCATGTTTGAAACACGGTATGGAGGAATAGAAATTTGAACGATTTTAAAACCTAACCTAATTCACAAATGGAAGAATTATTTTTCTTTTCGAATCTTCCTCGACGAAAGTAAGTAAAACCTAACCTACGCATAAATACGAACGATTTTTCTTCTTCGATTTTTGAGAACAATCGCATAAAGAAATGAAAATTCTTTTTTTTTTTTAATTTGAGAACGAGAAGTAAGAATCGTTAATCAATGGAAAAAGGAATAATTCGAACTGTTGCATTTCAGACGATTAATCACGACACACATAAAGGTGAAGAAGAAGCATTTTTTCTCCCCTCTCAGTGTTAAAATTCTCGTGAAGTTTAAGTGGATACGCGAGATCCTTCTCTCTTTGAAGAATCGGCGGACTGTTCGTTTCGGTGGAGTTACGAGCGTCGAGACGAGTCTGACTGGGAAAGGAAAAAAACGGCCACATTTTTTCCTCGTTTCGATCCGATCAAAGAAGAGGAACCAACTTTTTCTCTTCACGAGGGAATCCACAAAGGGACTATCGATCCTCCTTCTGCCCTCCACTTCGCACTTTCGCACGTGATCGTTATCGAGATCTTGCTCCTTAATTCGAGCTTTCGCAATTCTTACTTCACGTATATACATATCTTTCAAAACTACTCAATAACAATTTATCGAGAAAATTATTGAGAGTGACCAAAAATTATTATATCATTAATAACTATTATTAAACTATTACTATCATCTAATAGAATAGTACCTGATATTTAGATAGACTCTCACGTTTTTTTGATAAATTAATATCAAGTAGTATATAATAATATAAGTAGTATTTAATATTACCATAATAGTGTTTAGCTATCGAATAACCGTACTAATTATTGCAGGTATCGAATATCGTTGATTAATAATTAAGAAGCTTGGAAAGGAAAACTTTGATAAACGAAAGGCCGCCAAAGGCTGTTGCGAGAGCTTGCGTCACCGCACGTCCTTGACCAGTCCTCGCGACCCAAACCCAGCCAACCCTTCCAAAATGCCAAAGGATCAACTCGCTCGCGTATACTCTCTCTCTTTCTCTCGCTCTCTCCTCAAAATCTAACCTCTACACTCTTTCAAAAATTCACTCACTTCGCACATCCTCCTTGGAAATCCTCCAATATATATATATATATACATATACATACATACATACATACATATATCACTACGAACCGAGAGGACACGAACGAGGATAAAACACGTATATACTTCCCGTAAACAGGAGAACGAGAAACAAAGCGTCTCCCCGTCTCTCTGTGCGATGATAATGATAATAGTAATGATAAAAAAAGGGGGAGGGGAGTAACGAGGGAGCGTGTCGCGTGTGTTGCGTGGCGCGCAACTGGCCCCGGTGTGC